TAGCCCTAAAAAACTGAAATTAAAAGAAAGCAGCTAAATGTAGCTGGAAAAGCATAATTTGTCACAAAGAAGCAGAAAAAGCCCAATTGCTGAATTAAGCAATAAGAAGCTGAAATTATCAATAATAGTAATTTAGCTGAAAAAAGTTAAAATTAGCTGAAGTAGCTAAAAAATGTAACTTAAGTGGCTGAAARCAGCTGAAAGAAGCATAAAAATGATAAATTAGCAGRAATAAGCTGATAGTTACAAAAAGGCTTCAGTCAGACTAGCTGAAAAAAGCAGAAAATGGCTAAAATTAGCAAAAATATCAACTCAAATTAGCACAAAGAAGTTCAAATTTATAARCATTTTAAATGGTTTTTTGGATGCTGAATAGTGCTCCATTCCTTTTCAATTAGGAAAAAATCTCAAACTATAAATTGCTGAAATACCAAAAGACYCAACTGGAATGTCATGGAGGAGCTGAATATTTTTGATGTACTGTATATATTTCTTAATTTGGCACACAAATTGCAGAATGAGAAAAAAGTACGGAATGAACAATCGAGGGTCTCAGTTGTATGAATGCTTAATCTCATTCACACAATAAGGATGCTGTTCAGAAATTTTATTGGAGTAGGTGGTCCTAAAGCCCGCTCAGGTTTCACCCACCTGCTGTTTGGGGCTTTGCTGTGTTGTGTAATCAGCCAAAGACATAATCACAGACCTTTAGAGGCTCTGTCCAGAGGCCTTGGGCAAAGTGTGAGCTAAACACTTGGGTGGTCCGTTTATCCATTCCAGTGCGGTGCTTTCTGCCATACCAGCAACACCACAGTGACGTGTTACCGCTCTGGCCACATGCAGACATTCTCACATTCCCAGTGCTCACGACGGAAATGGAACACGCCCAAATCTTTTTATTCAGTGGGAGTAAAGGGAGAGGGGGGRAAAAAAACTGAGATTGTCATTTTTGCACATGCAGCTGTTATTTTTTGAAGTGTGCAGTTTTATCACATTTTAAGACAGCTGTCAACCGAGCTACATCTTTTACATCTAACACAATTTGTTCATTTTCATCAGCTTAAATTGGCTTATACCTCCTCTTTTTATTTTTTTTTATAAGATATTTCATTTCTAGCGTCTTCTTGGGGTTGATCCAATATTGCATCAGAATGATTGCCATGGGAGTCGTGCTAGGAGGGAGGAGGAAGAGGAAAAGCGAAAAAAAGGGAAGGATRCAGTATGGGCGAGAGAAAGAGGAAGGTGGAGAGAAGAACAAGAGAGGAGTATGTGAGGAACGGGGTGGCAGAAGGCCAGCAGAGTCAGAGATAAGAGGCTGCAGGAGTGATTGAAACGGGATTAGTGGAGACAGGCGCTGCATCGCGGCCGCAGCATCAGTGTTAAACCTGCGCTTCACAGGGACTCCCTCTGTCACATCAAAGCCTCCCCAGGCCAGGCTGGCAGAGAGGCGAAGCAGCCTCCAGCAGGGTCATTCACCACTACACGCATCTCCCGTATACGAGCACTGATCACCTCCTCCATCTATATCCGGCACGTCTCCACGAGGGCCGCAGAGCTGGCTCCTTCCCTTTTTTTTTTTTTTTCTGCCTTTTCCATCCCCCTGCAGTGTCTTTGTGGTGTGTGCTTGGACGGCAGATAGGATGCACTGATAAGCCATCTTTAACATTTAATGAGGCACGCAGTGATGAGTTGGCATAGGAAAGCTACTGTCTCCTGCTTTCATGGAGTCCAAACAAAGTTTTAATGAGAACTTTCGCCCCATTTGTGCCAAAAAGCACAGATCTTTTTTAAGTGCTTCCCAGACTGAAAGTGACATTGGTGCTGAAATATCGAGTGGAACTGATACCTGGATGCAAAACATCAGACATGCAGGAGATCTCGTATTTAGTTAATGTTGGGTTGGATGACACGGAGAGGTTTTAATTAGGTGGTGCAATCCAGTTATTATAAAGTGGTTAAAATGTGTATTTTTTAAAGGGGCAATATTATGCGTTTCTCAGGCATACATTTAAATACTATACCATAATAAAGTATCTGTCATCTTTTAGTTATTTAAAATGTTGTTTTATGTTTAAATAGAAAATTAACTTATCTTCTCATCACTTCCTCTTCTAAACGCCTCAAAATTGGTCTCTGTCTCTTTAAGAACCACCTTCCGCTTCTGTCCCGCCCATTTCAGCGCAGGGGGTTTGCACGTGCGCTATGATGCAGTTTACTTGGCATCTGAAAATACATTTCCTCAAAGGTATTTTTAATCTGAAAATAGCTTCACTGAGCGAAAAGTAGTGTTAGGAGCTCAGCAGACAGTTTAAGTTTCACCTTCAGTTTCACCCGAGAGCCTGCAGGAGTCATGGGCGGAGTGTGTGTGTGTGGGGGGGGTGCGCTCTGCCATGAGGAAGTTTGGCTTAAAGACGCATCCCAGGGGCGTTTCTGGTCCCAAAAGGCGTTTCTGGTCCCCACCTGTCGTTTTGCTCCTCAGCATGGCTTCCAAGAACACTGCAGGATTTCTCAAACATGCATGAATGAGTCAAAGCAAGGCTTTGAGCATGTTTTTTTATGAGTATAACATTGTAACATGATATAAAACTCAAAAGTTGATTTTACCTGATATTGCCCCTTTAACATTGGTTTCAAGTTGTTTTTAGTTGTTTTGTGGTTATTGATCTCAACAAACTAAATTGCTGCTTTTTGTTGGCTGAAAATTACAACTTGAGTTATTTTCTCCAGTTTGAACGAGCAAATTTTGAATGACTGCAGTTTCCACTCGAGCTCTGATTGTCCTCTAATCAAACGAACACTCCCTGTTCATTCTGTGCACTTGTGCTTGAGAGTATCTCAGTATGATCCAACGTTGCACCTTAGGTCTGTTCTGTTGAAGTAGATTATGGATCCCTATAGCTAAAATGGGCCATTTGATCTGCTGAGGGGAGACAATCGACTGATTGGGGAGTGCTTTCACTGTGTGCGCAAATTTGTGTGTCCTGTGTTATTCGTATTAGTGTGTGTGCAAGCTGGTAGTTTTCCTCTTGGAGCTCATCAGTTCATATCCACCACCCATCCCACCGCAGCATGCAGTAAATAGAGTCTCTGGCACTCGTTGAGAAATGGCACAATTATCCCCTGCTGGTGAAATATGGGCCGGGATGCACCACTGCTTCTTTCCTACAGAATGTGTGTGTGTGTGTGTAAAGTGGTTGTTTTTTTTTATTTTTTGTGTGCTTTTTTGTGTGTTCACTCATTGTGATGCACATTCAACACAGAGAGCTGTTCTTTCTTTATCTCACATGTGCGCATCTCACACACACACACACGAGCCTCATTGTATAAACAGCTGCGCACGCACACACCTTCACACGTTGCAACGCACACACAGACACGGTTTATCCACACACTCACGCCAGAGCGCCTCTCGCACGGCAAACAATGCAGCATGTAGAGCTTTTAGCTGAAACTAGCCGATAGAAAAACTCACCGCCTTTCAGTCAGAAATGTTTTGTTTTTTAGCATCCAGATATCACAGCCATCAGTCAAAAGTAGATGTATAGTTCAAAGACATTATGGAAATATGACCTAATGTTATCCTACACATATTTACTCTGAATTATTAATTTTAGTATTTTTTGTTCAATTTAAAAATAAAAATAAAAAACACCATGAACCAGTCTGAGAGACCAAATATTCTGGACCTTAATTAACTCGTTAGCAATAGGATTTGTTCAAACTTATCCTGACGAAAGGTCAGATGAAGCAAATCTTCAGAAACCTTTAGAGATCCGCTGATTCATCAAAGTTATGCAGCGCTGTCTTCTTTATCTCTGAAAATTATAAAATTATGAAATGCAGATCTTCATTTTTCACAGAGTGCAAATAGAAAAGGCAGCTTAAAGCCACAAAAATCYGCTATTATTCTATATTGTTTCAAATTTAGGCTTTCTTAGTTGAAAGAAATGCTTTGTTTTTTCCTTTTTTTCCATTTTCAGCTTTGGAGGTTATCAAACTTTTTTAAAACACTGTTTCCAGTTCAAACAGATCATACAAGTTTTATTTATACTGAGTTAACAATCCTAACTTGTTGTACATAGTTTTCTACATTAAAGCATCTTAGCAATGGGGCTTTGTTATTGTTTTTTCTAATTAAAATGTATGAAAAGAAACCACAGCATTTAGTATTGTTTTTTCCTGCTATGCTGAACTTCCATTGAATCATAAGTGGATATGACTCAAAAAAGCCCAAAGAGAACACTCTGCACAGAAAGACCCCAGGTCCAAACCGGGGGTTGAATCCAGGACCTTCTTTCTGTGAGGCATCAGTGCTAACCACTGAGCCATCATGCTTCTATTAACCTGGAACACATCCAACACAGTTCTGATAAGAATTAGTCTTTTACATCATGTCACACAGATTTTGCCTCAAATCCTTGTTAGAAGACACTTCAATTAGCATTATTTGCTCTTTTTCTTAAGAGACTATTTTCTTCTCCACTGTTTCATGTTTGTTTAATTTGAAGTTGAAACCAGCAGGCGGTCAACTCTGCATAAAAAAAAAAATAAATCAGAGTTGATGATATCTGGACTGAAAATCTCAGTTACATATTATTTGTTCTCCTTTTGATTGCCTAAGCTTCAGGTGTATTTTATGGTTCTTATAGTTGAAATAATTTGTCAGAACTCTACACGACACCAACATAAAAAGGCCATTTTCTGCATTTGTAAGCTGCCAGACCTTTTGAAATTGTCCAATGACTCTCTGAAATGTCAAAGGCTTGCTCAGTCATTTGAAGCCAGCCATACACAAAACGTAATTAACCTCAAGTGATTTCTCTTTCCAATGGCTTTTGACATTTGCGCAACTCTGAAAATTGCTTGTTGCTCATAAATGACAGAGAATAAGGAAAATAAGGCATCAACTTGAACCGCATGGTTGTGATCCAAACGAACTGCCGCTATAGTCTGATGTCCTGTGGTTAAAAAYACTAAATTAGGTTTCTTTGTTTTTGCAGGTATGGAAAAATAGTGTCAACCAAGGCCATTCTGGATAAGAACACTAACCAATGCAAAGGTAAGTCATTGTTTTTGTGGCTTCTACGCTCACCTTGTTGTAGTGGAAAAGCCATCAGTCTTCAGGCTGTCCTGTCACAAGAACAAAAATTCAAGCCTTCACRTGCATTTAAAGGGATCCATGATTAGTTGTAACATTAGACTTTATTTGATAGACATGTAAAAATACTGTAGGCTGTTTAGTTTTGTAAATTTTAAAAAATATATTTTAACACGGACGGAGCTATTTTATTTCCACACAAAGCATTCTGGGTAAATGATGACGTGGATAGGTCCTCGGTGCGAGGCTGCTAGT